CTCTCTCTCTCTCTCTCTCTCTCTCTCTCTCTCTCTCTCTCTCTCTCTCTCTCTGCTGGGCTGTCATGATGTCAATGATGGTAATGCAGGCAGAACTTTGAGATTTTGTCGTTTCATGTTTTTGTTTTTCAACATGGCCAAGGTGTTGTCCACTCTCTGTTTATGTCAACTCTTGTCATACAAAGAAAAGCCATATAAACAGTAAGAGGCACAATAAACTACTTTTGTGAGATTACTGGGCTTTTTTATTTATTCTATTGTTTTGCAAAAAAAACGTCTGGTATGACCAGAAATGTCACTCAAACAAGGAAAACATTAAGCACACAGTCCCTTAACACTGTAAAGTCGTAGTTTACAGTGAATTGAACCATGCATTACCAAATATATCAGTAGAGGGAGCTCTTGCACCGTTACTGCAGGGCGCACTGCTTCGAGCAGTGTTCACCCTGCATGGAAGAGGAGAGCATGGTCTGCTAGGTCATGGAGCGCTGTGAGTGCAGAGGCTAATAATTCACTGCCTCCTGCTGAACAAGGACATCAGATAAAGGTCCACTCTGAAGATTTGTTCTCTGTGCGGTTGGAGGTAGTGAAAAGTCCTATAGTTTTGTCTCTCTGATAGATTTACTTTTTAACTTCTAAACCACTCTGTCTGTCAGGATTTATTTATTGAATTTTAGAAAGGTGGACAACTGAACAGAAAGAAATAGTGCACCTTTTGAAAGATGTACACCACAACAATGAATCAGATATAATTAATGTATCTCAATATTAGATACATTACATGAAACATATCCGATATAAGCAGCCGATTAATTGGTCGTTCATTCTCTGATTTCAGCTTCTCAAATATTATTATGAGTACGATTGTTATTATTATTGGTGTTTCAGACTAAACCATTAATCCAAGAAATATCTGGCAGATGCATTGCTAATGAAGATAAACAGGTAGCAGAGTTCTTTCAGGGTGCTGCTTCCAGCTGAACAGTCAATACATGGTTCAACATGGTCTCAGATTTTATTGGACTCCTGCGATATTTGATCTTGTAGAAGCATCTTGGGTCCAAAACTGAATCTGGTTTGGTAATGACCTGTGAAATGTGAAAGGACATTGCGGCCTTAAACTCAACTCAAAGTCAACACATTTGTCAGAATACAATTGAAACAAGCAGATGAATAAAACAAGAATAACTTTAAAAAATTTTCAGATTCCCTACAAACGTCGCCAAAAGTCCCGAGTTATATTATTAGTACATCAACATCACTGATAAAACCAGCTCTCTTGACATCCTGATAAAGAACAGGAACCCTCTTTGTAAAGGGCTACCAACAGTAAACATCTCTCATGTTTCAGCGTACCAGTGTGGGATACTAATGTCTCACCTAGATTTTATTAATAGTTTGAGAGCGAGAGAGAATCAGAAGAGGGTGCTAAACAGAGATGAGATCCTATCAATTATATGATTACTTTAATTAACTATCATTAAAGACAGATCAATAACACCAGACTGGAATTAAAATAAGGCCCATACATTACACTATTTTACAAGGAACAATCAAATGGCCTCATATACTGAGCCCCTGGACGGTGTTGCCATGGGAACCTATCGAAGCGTTTGGGTGTGCTTGGGGGAATTTAAAAGAGCCGGGGCAGGATTTCAATATACTCATCCTTCCACATCAGTGGTGCTGGATTAACTAATTACTTGAGTTACGAAGGCTTATTGACTGGAAATAGGAAAAAGAGATGGAAATGTGTAAAAAAAAGGCCCCGGGGAGAAAAAGGTATAACTGTACAATGAATTAATAAAGGGGAGAAATCTCCCTTGTAATATTCTTGCAGCCTCAGGACATCAATTATTCATAAAAAAATTGTAAAGAATCCATAAAAGTAGGTCATGAGTGAGGCATACGGAAAAAATTAATCTGAATATTTAAACACAGAGAGAGAGAGCACATCCAACGAGTTTGCTCTGAACATGAGCAAACTGCAGGGATAATGGATCAGGAGAGGCTGGCTCCTCAGAGAGTGATCGGGAGGATAAAGCTCATTGAACCCAAGTGCTCTGGCACCAGTAGGAGGAAGGGGCACAGGGTGTGATAAAGTCAGAGAGTGGAGGTGCATGTGACCTGGGTTTGATGTGATAAAAATAAACTGTGGGGTCTTTCTGTAGACTTAAGCCATGTAGGCTACAATACTCAGAGGTGTATGTGTCATGCGCTGGATGCATGGAGTTGGAAGCTGGGTCACAATGTGAAACAGCACATCATTTACAGTGCGTCTCCCGCTTGGTTCAGAGCAGACAAAAAGGACAAGTTCGTCATTTGTGACATGCAGCAAATCCACTGAGGGTTGGGAATCAGTCAAGGGAAGAGAAGAGAGGTGAGGGGAAGGTGAGAAACGTTTTCAAGTGCAACAGCCATAAATGTAACACCTTCCACTGTGTGAGCAGAGAGGCAGGCGGGCGATCTTAAAGAAAGGGTAATGGAGAAAGTGATGAAGAAACGGGTAAAGGTATCTGTGACGAGAGTGAGAATGGAGGGTGTGCCAGCCGGGAGGAAGAAGGAATAAACAAGGCCAGGTAGAGGAAGGGGTGATTTGGGGAAGGGGAGCGAGAGCTGGGGAAGGCGGGTGTCGGGGTCATAAAAACTCGGAGATGTGTTCTGGCCTCTGGGTCTTCATATCTTTTACATTTCTAATTAAAAGAGATAAAGAGTGAGGGAGTCATCAATCCCACAGTGATTTCCCAGTTAAGGTTTTAGAGGGGGCTGTAAACTAGGCAGCCCAGCATCATTGATTTTATAATTAGCTATCGTCACCCCAGACTTAAGATGGAGGGAGTGTGGTAGAAGGAGCTTAGAGCTTAAAAGAGGGAGCAAGACACTGCCATAAGAGTGGGGAGGCACAAGGATGAAGATGATGAGGAGGTCAGGCCTGAGGGGAGGGTGCAGGAGAGCCAAAGGTGAGCGGAGCGAAAATCCAGCATGAAAAATTTGTGTGAAACAGGCAATGAGCCAAAGGGGGATAGGTTATATAGCTACGTGAAAAGAAATGACATAGTTAATTACCAGTGAAATGTCATGTGCGGATCAAAATATTGCTATGATCTTTGGCCAGAAAAAGACACATTAGATCCAATAATAGATACATAAACCATTTTATTACACAGAACCCCACCCAAACCCCCTTACATGACTGATAAGAATATACACGGCGGTGTACATGTGGGATAACCTTCACACACACAAAACTTCAAAACAAACCATAACCACTGGAGCTTTATTGCAACCGGAGACGGTGTCCTGACGAGGAGCACTCGTACTAGAGCTCTCAGTGGAACAACAAAAAACACAACATTCATAAGACATAAAGTCAGAATACAACCACAAACAAGGACTATGGAGAATACATGTGGTGTAGTGTGCTATCTTATGGGAAAGAATACCAGGCTCCTCAAAACATTCCCACCTCTATACAAGGAGAATCAACATGTACTACAACACCAGAACACCCAGTGACACAAGGTAACTGAGAGGTGACTACCTTCATAATCCTGGTCCTCCTGTTTGAACATTCAAATCAATTCCTTTCACCTTAAACACAACGTGCTGGAATCGTTCCCTTTCATTAGCACCGATATCTTGCAGCAATATAACTCTTATATCAAATCGTAATAGAGTCAAAGTGAGTATTTGAAAGCAGAATGTAAAAACATAAAGTGTAGATAAAATATATACGTAAACACAACACACCATGGTAATGATTAAGATAACAATGAAAGGACACGACTAACATAATAAGTATCCATATATCAACGTTTTCATCTAAAAACTCTTATATCGTAAAAAATAGGGTGCAAATACAGCAGATAAAATCAAGCATCAAAGTGTCGAGCACATTTTCTTAGCCAAGCATGGAAAATTTTGTCATACATTGCACAGACAGCTGTGTGAAAAACACCTCTTTAAAACTAAACCTGAATATAGTTTAATTGCAGCATAACTCAAGTTAATTATAAATAGAAAATCATGAAAAATGCATACAGTATTGATTAAAAGGTAGGCGGCTATTTTTATTAGGCAGTATATTGCCATAGGGCGCAGGGAAAATACCAACACCATGTCAATGCGTCAGGATCTATAAAGATGATTTTCTTTGACTCTTTTTAAAATTATTTTAGGCACAAATTTACAACTGCGTGAATGTGAGATTTCTGTACAATACAAACTGTAACAAACACTGAATATCCTAATGGCCAGCTAGTAAATCCAGGATCATTAAAAAGTAAAAACTATAGCTGATCTATAGTGTAAAGCGAATGAGCATTCATTTTATAATAATGATTATATGAAGGTACTGAAGTAGAAAGTTGCATCCGGCATCTATTTAATAGACTTTAAACACAATCTGTTCGATAAGCTTTCTTTTTTAAATGCTTGTTCCATCTTAGAGCATCTCTGCGTCACTAAATCTCTTTAACTGCATCCGCACGACAACAATCAAGTGCTCTTGCCAACAAGAAAGTGCATATCAAATCTTGCTTGTGAGTAAATGGAGGAAAAATATGATGTCATAGACCTAGATTACTGCAATATAATTCTAGCATGATGCTGTATCATTATTACTTTATGCTGCCGTGAATAGCGTTCAAAGCTGCTGTGGAGAATTTAATGCTGGAAGAGAGTTTTATCATGATTTCCAGGGAAGCCGGGGCTGCTCAAAACATCATAATTACAGTGCCTGTCATGAATCCTAATCGCAGATGTCATAAAAACGACATAACATCCATCGTTAAGCTCTCGACATTGCAATGATTCAACAGAAATAATTCCGCTACAACCTGCAAACTCTCAAAATGCCAGAGCCCGTGTCCGAAAGCACGCCACTTCAAACTGAAAGTCTTATGTCAGTCATAAACATAGTGTCGACCTGCCACCACAAGCATTATGTCATTCCTAACAACAAAACAGCTAGAGCAATAATAACACAACAGTTGGGGGGGGGGGGGGGAAACCAGGGTTCACGGCAGATATGATGTAAATTGCATATTAACATTTTGTCTGTGTAGTGAGTGAGCTGTATATGTGCTTGTTAGTGGAAGTAATGTGAAACCACATAAACTCCAAAAAAGTCCCCCCTTCTCCTCTTTCTTAATCGCTCGCCGTGGCTGGACGTCCACCGGTTACCATAGCGAGGTGTCGGCCAGATCACTGGAGGAGGAGACAAAGCAGAGTGTGCGTGTGTGAAAAACTGAAAGAAACACAGTCTGGTTGAAAGAGGCAGTTAGACTAAAGGAGCGGGTGAGTGGGAGAGAGAGGGCTTTAATGATGCTGAAAATTGGCCCGTGACTGCAGTACACCCCTCAGGTAAATCATTGCTACAGCTTGCTGTCAACTTATCTGTCCCCTTGTCCTCCCATCTCGCCCCTCCCACGCCCCAACTCTGTCTCACACATCGCATCCTGACTCAACTTCTTTTACGACCACATATTCAAAACTTCCATCTTCCAGTCATACTCGCCATGTCACCATAAATAACTGGTTGCATGTGTCCGTGTGCCTTAGCAAGCTTTGAATTCATCGTGTAAGCCTTTCTGTGTGAGACCCGGTGTGGAAACTCAGTACTCGGGTACTATGTTTGAGTACAATTACTTCATTCTTCCTTTTCGAGATAGTTTAGGATTTTACTTCTCTACATTTAAGAAAGAAATGTGATACTTTCAACTCCACTGTGTTTATCTAGCTGCTGTATTCACTAATTACTTTGCAGAGTAAGGTTGTACAAACAAATCAAGTGATGAGCTCATAAAACATGATGCATTGCTTGAGTTTAAAACCAGCCAGCATGGTAGGAAGAAACTTGTTGGCTTGTTTGACCTCAAAGAAATTTTTTATTTAATATGCAGCCAGCAATACAAAGCTGCATTTTTGAACATTAAATCTTCAACTGTGCTCGATTTGTTGTGATTGTCTTATCGTCACTTGCCAAACCCTCCATTAATCTAAACCAAATCCTACTATATATTTCACGGGAAGGCAAGTAGCATGTCCATGTATCCAGCCACATTAGAAAGCAGTAGTATTTGAAATAGTTATATCAGTAGCAACGTTAAATACTTCCATGTCTAACAGTGTGATAGACAGTGGTGGAGTAGGTACTGAGATCCTTTCCTTAAGTAAAAATACCACTTCAACAATATGAAATTACAAGTAACAGCACATAGACAACTGTAGACATCTATAACATGACAAGAGGCCCCAGAAAGACACTGCAGGACATTTTATGGAGTCCCCCTCCCTTGATATTTGAATGTTGTACTTGGCTGTGTGTGTGTGTGTGTGTGTGTGTGTGTGTGTGTACGTGTATTCTATGTATGAACATGTGAGGGGAGGTTGTACCTGAGAACAGTGTCCATGTGTTCAGGCAGCAAAAGTGCCGTTTCCTCTCCAGAGCTGTGCCTTCCACACTTAAGTGTATCAGATTCCTCCTCCTTAACATCAGAGAACAACACACACACACACACACACACACACACACACACACACACACATACACACACACACACACACACAGACACACACACAGACACACACAGCAGCAGCAGCCATTAAAGCCGAATAACTTGCAGACGAGCGGCCTAATTGCTTCTCGGAGATAATGTCTGTATCAAATGATCCACTGCCCGTGTTTAACTGGTGTGCACAGCTATCAGCATGACGACATTGCTAATTTTCTGTATCACATGCAATTAGACTATGGTGATGCTGAATGGCCGGGATAGCGCGTCTCACCGAATCAGAGCTGTGCGCCAGAGTGTCAGCGTCGGTCTGGTGTGGCGAGCAGAGCGGGGCTGGCTGGTTGATGACCACTGTGCTCCTCTCCATCTCCCTGGGGGAGGGAGGAGGGGTGGCAAGGATCAAGGAGTCCGGCTGGCCCTGCTCACACAGGCTGTAGTGTCCCAGAGGTCTTGGTGGACGGAGGGGCTGCAAAGCCTCTGGGTTCTCGTCCTCAGAGTCAGATAACACACTGCTGGGCCGATCTGCCGGACAGAAACATCGGCAAAGAAAAAAAGCGGTCACTTTTCTCCAGAGCACTGCTCCTGTCGCCCCCACAACATATGCTGTTCTGAGCAATATTTAGTGTCGCTGGTGAGTGATAATTAACTCTTTTATCGTTCACATCTGCGGGGCATACAGTTGATTAATGTGGGGCTCCATTCACCTGCATAGGCAATCGGAGCAGCGCTCCACTTGGCACTGACCACCGTTCCCATCTTCTGCTCCAGCTGACAGATGTACTCCATCAACTCCTGTAGTGGAAAATACAGCCGTCATATCACACACCAGGGCAGGACTTGCATCATGGCATCAGCAGCCATCACCCTCATAACTCTCATGATGTCCGACTTCTTCAAGCTAAAGCCACATAAAATATATTTACACACAAACACAACATTGATATTTCATAAATATCATCACTGTTCAATAAACATTTTAACATTTGTTTGATTTATGATGTGTCACAGATTGGCTGCTATGCTCCTATATGGCACATATTAAAATTAAGCTGGACACTGATTTTAAAAACAATGACTACTCTGCTAGTTGCAAGCAAACATGATGGTGGTTAGCCAACAAAAACACTTTAACAGCAGTAGCACTGCCCTGAAATCTACTGATTTATATTGCACTATAAACAATTTATATTGCACAATAACAGCTAAGAAGACAACAACAGACAGAAGATTCCCAACACCTGTGACACTTACAATCCCTGTATACTTGTGAATATGTTCCATCAGTAAGCTTGAGCATATGAATACATTATCTATAATAAAAAAATATTATTCATAGGTGCACTCAAGCTTGAGAGTGGTACAAATTGTAACCAAACTTGTACTAAATCTAAGGCTGATAATGACTGAATTACTGCAGTTGTGAGCCGATTAGGATAAAACAGTTACGGTTTACTTATTATTCCATACAAGCCACTCATTGGCCTTGGGATCAGCTGATAAGGACACAAAGTCAGGACCTGTGACACCCTATATGCAGTGAACATACACAACACAAGAACATACCATCTCAAAACAGTATATTTTTTCTCGTTTTTGGACAAACTTTCTGTCAGCATCGATTCAAGTTGCCATCTATGACTAATCACAATGTGTCTCTGACCTGTTTCTCTGCAAGTAGCTGCTCCTTCTCTTTTTGGGCAACCTTCAGGCTGGACTTTAGCTCCTGGAGCTCCCTGCGGGTTTCACTCAGCTGAACCTGCAGGCCAGATATCAGAAGCAACAAACAGTTACTGTGATTTCAGAATGACAATGTGTAGTATACAGAGTAAATCTCAGTCAAGCTGAAGGGATTGCTTGAGGTGTTTAAAAAAAAAAAAAAAGATTAGATGAAAAGATCGTTATACTCTCTTTTCTGTGTGGTAAATGTAGTTTTATTTACTGCAAACACACTGAAGTGTACTCGCAAAATGACCCTATGACAAGAAACACTGACTGCACTAAGTGCTTTGGAGTATTTCTCACCCGGTTGCAATCCTTTTCTCTCCCAAGCTCAACCTCCAGCTTCACTCTCTCCATCCTCTCTTCCTGCAGCCGCTCTTCCATCCTCTGCATCTCTGTGTTGAGTTTCTCAAGACGCTCATGATCCTTCTGTCAGGGTGATACACATACGGTACTCAGTATACAACACGTTCACCTTAGGTCACTAGACCATGTGTAAAAACCTGACTCAACGGTTTAGCTGCAGTGCCCAATAAGATAAACACATACAGTAGAAGAGCTATGGGAAAATGTCATCTTGAAGCCATCAGGTGTTGTTTTGAAACTTCATGACATCTAACTCAAAACTTCGGACGGTGATGGGACATTTGACCAAATACAGGTGTGTGTATATATATATATATATATATATATATATATATATATATATATAGGCTCTAGCACAGTACATTTTATAAATGCTCCACTTCAGATTCTGTGTTCTGCACGGCTACAGTACCTCAGCAGTGCGCTGCAGAATCTGCCTCTCCTGGGCCCAGCGGGCTCTTCCCTCTCTCATGACCAGACTGGAATCTGCAAGCTGAAGGGTGAGTTGGGCAGCCTGCAGACGAGCCTGATGCAGTTCTGCCTGACCGTGATCCCTCTGGGACACCATGGCACTTAGATCACTCTTCAAGCCCTCTGTGGCACGCTCGTTCAGGTTCAGACGCTCCCGCAGGCTCCGCATCTCCTTCAGTGTGGCCTCGTTCTCCGCCTGGCCATAAAGGGGCAATAAAGCGTGTCTTGGCGACATAATATCTGTAACTGCAGGTGAATTGCTACTTAATGCCAGTCTGGAAAAAAACTATTACTGAATTTGAGATGCCATGGTCATGTTTTAAGTCCATTCTAGCAAAGTTTTAGAATGTGCAGACATAGAACTCTTATTTAAAGTGAAGCATATCTATGAAGAAAATAGCTTAAACCACAAAGTAAAGGTATAAAAACAACAACCCAACTCCAGTAATTTCAACAGTGCGTTTGTCTCAAACAAACTCTGGTGACAGGTGCAAATACTTCTCCAGTTAAAGGAGGTGCTGAAATTAGAACACTTGGTGGTCACAGCACACATTTGGAGCCTAGCATGCAGATTTGCCTACTCTGCCTTTAACTATTCATTCCCACATTATTCTCAACCCTGCTTTCAATCCTGTCTCCTCTGATTTCAGAAGAGATGTCTGACCTCTTTCCTGTGGGCAGTAGTGAGTTTCTGGGTGAGGGTGGTGATGCTGTTTTGGAGCTGCAGGACACTTGTGTCTCTCTGGGCCAGTGAATTCCTCAAGAACTGGAACTCCTTAGACAGACTTCGGAGTTCACCTTCTGTCTGTTCCAGCTTTGTCTAAAAGAGAGTCACGATACAGACGGGAAAAGAGAGTGAGATGTGGAAGAAAACAACAACTGAGACACAGGTTTTTACTAAGATATACAGCATGTTCTGAATTATAATTACCTGCAGGCTCTTTCTGTCACTCTCCTCTTCTTTTCTCTGAGCTCCAGCTCTCTTTGCTCTTTCCTTCATCCTGCACACATAGTTGTAGTTACTGATGATCAAAAGTATTCATGAGACCCACATAAAACTAAGAGAGAGAAGAGAAAATAAAAAACAAAATGTCATACCTCTCCAACTCAGTCTCTCTTTCCACCGTTCTCTGAGTCAGGGTTTTGATATCCTCCTCCAGCTCTTTGATTCGCACTTCGCTCGCATCCAATAAAGCACTTTTCTCCTGGGCTAGTGATTCTCCAAAAGCCTGCTCCTCCTAACAGACCAGAGGCATTTCACATTTTTATGAGAATTTTTAATTTATCGTGACATAGGCTACCCATATAAAAATATATTACATTTACATTTTTAATATAACAACCCAAACATTTTATTGAATTACTGGAGAATTTTATATCACAGAAGAGAGGATATTGTTTGAGCAGAGACGTGCTTTTCATCACAGAATAGGGGGACAGATATGTACAAGTACGGAAATAACAGGCAAATTGGCCATCAAATGATCTTGGCCGTCATTTGCCTAGCTCTATACGCCACCTTCTGCTCCATCTCCATGTCCTCGATCTTCTCTCGACTCTGCTTCAGCTCTTCCTGCAGCCTGGCGATATCACTTTCTTGCCCTCTGCGTCTTCTGTCCCAGGCCTCCCTCGCCCTCTTGTACTCCTCCTGGTCTTTCTCCCTCTGCCTGTTTGCCGCCTCCTGCGCCTGCAGCAGCTCAGCTCGCTCTCGCAGACATTCCTGCAGTCGACCCTGACAAGAGACAGGTGGATGCAGGGAGCACACGGGGAATCACAGTTGTGTCTTTGTGTGTCGGCAGTAAACAACAGTATTGATTTCTGAGCATATTTTATCAGCACTCATTCATTTACAAAACTGATAACATACACTCCTTCACTACCGTACGTAGTAAATCTATACTGTTTTGTTATGTTCACCTGCAACAGTTCAGCTCTAGGCACTACCAGCAACATGTCTGTGCCTCCTTCCTCTCCATGGGGCTCCTCCTCAAAAGTCACCAGATCCTCAAGTGGCTTCGGAGCGCAGAAAGTGAATTGGGAGCTGCGGGAGAACACTTCCCCCTTTGCATCAATATATACAAACTCATAATCTTGGGAGCTGAGCTTGGGTAGGTAGGAGGCTAAAAGATAGTAGAAAAAAAGACGAGACATGTTAAAATCTATTTTCAGTGGAGAATAATTGTGTTTCAAAGTAACCCATTTCTTGTTTTTGAGCTCACTTCCCATCATACTGTGTTGAACAAGGTGGAAGCTAAGTGCACTATCGATAATTAGATCATTTAACTACCACTAATTTTGGAAGCGCTAATCACCTTTAAAAATTAGTATCTTTATGAAACAGCCTGACAGTATTTTGGTAGTGAGCATTTAGGGAGTTTACGCATTTATATGGCTTTAATATTGTAATGCATAAAACATTACATTTACAAAATGAAAATTCAACGTGCATTTGCAATAGATTATAGATTAGGGCTGCAATACAACTTCCCACCACCAGTGGCAGCACCCAGGTCGCTCTGCGCAGGTGAGCGAGAAAAAAATGGCGTTGCGCAGTTTGGCGCCATCGTTGATTTGAATGGCGTTCACACAGACGTTAGTCGGAATTTCGCGTGTACAAGCTGAGGTTTCGTTGCTTTACACCGGCCTGGAACAGCATGTTCCCATCCTGACACGTCGTCGAGAAGTCCAGCTTGCCTCGAGTGAGTTCCCATTTTCATTATTAGTCTGTAAAGAATTTAATGCGCACAGAATACCTGAGATGGCACACCAACAGTCCTCTATCAGGGACGAGTGGTGTTTGTGAAGGACTGCAAACATTTTGTCAGATGCGCTTGTTTGCGGTCATACTGGGATTAGCTTGGATGAGGATATCGAATGTCATCTCTGTTCAGTTGAGTGGTTGTTCCGGTACAAGTTCGCGCATGGCGTCGCAGTTATTGAAGCAGGTGAAACCGGTTCCCGTTAGCCTCAGCAGTAAAACGCGTCTTCCAGTGGCTCTACATTTGTCTTCCAGAACGAGTCAACCCGGCAGCCTGCATTTACAAGGCCCTGCTGTTTAGCTTGCTCCGTTAGGCACACCTAAGTGAAGCAAGGCCCTAATTAACGTTATTAATTAAACCTGTGTGTTTACTCTGCAATGGCATGTCAAAATTGCTGCTGTGAAAAGGGCCTATACTTTAATTGGCATGCTCCATCAAACTAACTACTCTTTAAACAACAACGTGTCGCAATTGAATTGTATGTCTAAGCAGGTTAAATATAGAAGTTACCTGTTCAGCAAAAAAAAAGAAAGAAGCAAGTATCCACGAGCTGTTAATGGTGCTTTGCATGCTCTCTGTCTCTGCACATTGGATCCCAAATGACACAATTAAGAGCCAATCATGGATTTGCCTTCCCAGGGGAATTAAGTTTACCCGCATTGGTGTGCTGCTAAATAAATGGTTTCTTGATTAGTTGTGCTATTAGCATAACCTTGCGAATGACTTTCAACCATAAGCCATATTTGTAATTCTCTGTCCTTTTTATCCCTCAACAGATCAGGCAGGAACTGATGATGCTATATAGGCCTCCTGCTTCCCACTCAGACCGCTGAGCAGCGAACCACAGCGCGGGACTTCTTCCAGCCCATAAAGTAAGCTAACCTAATATTATCCTTATCTCGCTCAGACTTCAGCGTCATGTTTAGAGTGATTTACGCTTCTGTTTCACAACACATGAACAGTAAAGTGGCCAGATGGAAAACCGACAGGGGGATACAGCAAAGTTTATGAGCTGTATTGTAACTTACAGCACCAGCTTTGATCACAGTGCAGGAAACCTTCTTTTTGAATCACTGCATTGCTGACGATAAGGAACCATCAGCAGTTTCTTTAGACTTCCCTCCCTCTGCTCTTCTTCAAATGAAGAATGACATTGTCAGTACGCCAAAGTTAGTGATAAATCACTCTAGTAGAGGTCAGTGCCACACCTGCTGCATGCGTGCCCCTCACACTGAATCAGGCTTATCAGTTGTCACTGTTTTGACTCGTCGTTGGAGCAGGCTTTGACAAAGGCTTTGTCTTTGTCATCCTCATTACTCAACCTCCTGCATCCTTAAGAAATTAATTGAAACCATAACAGAGACTCTACCTGTGTTAGAGACCAAGATGAGAGGGACATTTGGCTTCCGTATAGGATATTTCCCCCTTTACATCTGTGAAAATACTGGGTTTTTTTTTTACAATAGAAGTAACTTACATTTTCCTCCATTCAATACGCCAGTCGCTAGCCTGTTGTGTACAAGAGAGCAATTCAATTTACAGAAACATCAATCTCCCGCTGAAGGTTTTATGTGCAGATCTAAGCACCGTACCAGTATAGATTCTGGCTAACTATGGGAAATAAAATACAATTAGAAAACAAGGGCACGAATACCCTGGAAGTGCACACAGCAGTTGACATCTGTGCCCTCTTGATAGTCAGCCGGTGCCAGTGCCCAGACGAACGTGTGGTAGTCCTTCACTGACGACCATCCCACCTGAGGGAGGAAAAACGTGCCGTTGTTTTGCAGTTGATGCATGAACTCTTTATTCACATTGCGACAGCCGTCGGGTTAACAATACCTTGAAGAGCCCTATCCAGTCATTGCTGGCCCAGTTGTGCTGTGAGCTAAGTGTGTAGTGGCAGTCGACTCTGCTCTGAGGGAAGTAGCTGCTGCCCACGTTTCTGAACTCCACCCGCCAAGCCTTTTCCATGGCAACAGGCTATTCTGCGCCTACAGGGAGGGAAAAAAACCACAATGTTCAAACTTGATTCCGTGTTTTTCTAGTTTATTATTGAGTCCAATTTCCGGGTACAAACTGATATGCATGGTAAGATGAGCCAATTGTGTAATAGGCAAGGGGCGACCGCTCGAGAACAAACGAGACAGAGCCGACAGTCTGAGTATTTATTCAGTGTAAGAAGATATCCTGACTGAGGACACCAGAACTAAACCACAGTGACAGCATGGCCTTTGAGCAACATGACATATTACATGTTTGTCACTCGGGCTATTTCAGTCATTGCTATTGTACACCATCACGTGTAAGCATGCAGTACAAGGTGTATGTGGCGTCCGGCATGTATAGGGCTCAAATTCTACCCATAGATACACTTCCAGCCTGCAGTTAACACAACACATGGAGACATTATTTATTCATTTTGTACCATATTAGTATCATGTTTGTAACTAAAAGCCCCATTTTGCTTTGCAGTGTACATATACTGCAATTGTGAATTAACTGACTTTCCCATACTCTATATGTATCCCCTGTGGTACAGTCATGATCAAATACAAGTATCGGGGTGTGATGTTTTCTATTTTAGTAAAGCATCCTGCTAATCTTGGAAGAACCGTTTCTACTGTAAATATTGCAGAACCTTTTTCCGTCAAAAAACAGATCCGTGACTATACAGTAGCTTTCGGAGGGTTCACGTTACACAGCTCGAGGCTTGAGGCCCAACATTAGCACATGTCCAGAAAACATTGTGCCATACACGTCGATGCAAGTGCGAGAAGACAAACGTGTAAACAAAGCCACTGAAGCTATTTTGGACCTGTAGCCGACTCGTTAATTATCGTTGTCCAATTAATGAATGTGATGCGCGTGCAAGTCAGGCGAGACAATAACAGGCTTTGTTAACTATAAAAGACTGCGCACATTATCTCTCGAGCGTCTCGGGTATCTCGCTTACCTTTTATATCTCTTACTTCTCTGTAAACGGTCTAAAGGAGCTGTCTCTCTATCAGACACGGTAGTCGCAATGCGTGAGAAAGCATCAAAACACGATTCAGACGCGCTTTCCTCCTCGGACTCAGTAGCTCCGCTAACCCGAAACAATAACAAGAAAACAAAGCAAAACACAAGCATGACAGCTTCACTTCAACCGCGGCATTGTGGGAGCTGTCGTTCGCCACGTCGATGAAAGTACGCTGAAACGGCTCACGTTAAACTACAATCCCCAGGCTCGGAGCGGAGTAGCCGAGGTCGCGCTGCACGTAATATGATGCGCCTCATCCGCAGCCGTTGTTTTTCTCATCGGATGTCAAAGCGCAGAGAGACGCAGGTTGTACGGGAGAGATGTGCAGACTGACCAATGGGAATTATTATCTCTGGTGTGCGATGAGGAAAACAACGATTAGCGGGCGGAGACGTGCAGAGTGGGAGAGAGCAATTTGACCCTTGTTCAATTTCTGTTGTGACAGGCTCCACATATTCTCTGGAATATGTTGGCAACGTTTATATTACGCATTCCTTCCCATGCAGCTGGATATGGAAGGTATACAATAGCATACACCATAAAGGATTTTTTGTGCACTTTATTTTATATTTCACTTTATGTTATAATTTACTTTATTTTATATTTAACTCTACATTTTAATATGTTTCTACTTTTTGCACTGTTGATTGTTGGTGATTAATGTTTATGCACCACCCGTCATGTCAAATTCCTTGTATGTGCAACATACCGTGGCAATAAATGGTTCTGATTCTGGTATATAAATTGGATGGCAGTAAAATGCGTATATGAGCATATGAGCTATTTATTATTATAGTTATTTGTTGCAGTTTTTGCTAATCTGTTGAGTCGATGTCCCACAGGAGACGGTTCCAATTAGCAGGTTTACTGAGTTACCTGTATAACTGTGAAAATACCCTTTTGATATTATTCCATGTTATGGATTTGATGTGGATTTTGTTTTTCTTCTTCTTCAAACACATTAATCCTACTTTGAAACATGCCTCAGTTTGCCAATTGTTTTGAGAGACTCCTCATCTTGTCTTGGAAACATGTGGGTGTACAAGTTAAACAGCATGATGAAGTTACGACGCCGGACAGCAGATGGCAGTATACCATCTTTAAAACTCAGTGCGTTATGCATTCAGGCTGTCACATGAAGACCATATTCCTAAACCATCTATAACACACAATGTATTTTCCTCATTCTCCCGAGACTGTCCCAGGGCCTTGGAGGCCATTTTATTCATTTAGGAAAATATACATCTTAAAGGTTAGTATTTAATTAGGCTGCAAGATGAGATCCTAAATGTAAAAACTGAAGGCCTACTTCCCCTCAACTTTGCATTGAAGAAGTTTGGTGAAATAAAGTTTTTGTAAACATTACAACAGAACCACAAAGTATTGACTGGCCGAGTATAACTGTGAAGTGTATCACAGGGATTTGTTAAATTGTTAGTCCTAATTGTGAGATTCTAAATGAAAAACATTAAATATTGGCTTTGTACTTGGGCTCAATCTGAATACATTTAAATGTAATTGCCATAAATGGCTATTAAGGGAGTTAAAACAAATCTCCTAGTACGCTCAATAGGAGTTGTCGGCCTGTGAGCACAATAAAGTAGAAACTCGGATCATAGAAGTGGAAATTAGTATATTAGGTTATCATGCCTCAGTTACCGCAGCTTAAATAATGTTCATCCTGTATTATTACAGTTATTGATGTTCCTCCCTTAGCCTGTTTATTTATCTCTGCTCATTGACGAGCCAGTCCAGTCACACAGTGCTTTACTCTCCTCAATTAGTAAGTCCAGTTTGGCTAATTTAGTCTGTTGAAGACACTATAAGGACGCTTCATGTAATTTTATGCCGACGGACAGTCGATGTGGAGACCCTATAAATTGTGTTTAAGTGGATTAATAGTGTGCTGAGCCTGTGAGCAAAGCGGTGCTGGAAGTAGTGGCTCTGTATGCCGTAGGATAATTAAATGGGCTGTACTGCATTGACAAGCTTTTCCAGCATCCATTGTTTACATGTGTTTTAGGCTCGGATGTTAGGGAGTTAAAATATAAAAAATGCTCTATTAGTATTTGTTGCAACTTTGAAGTGGGTGTCTAGCTTCTGCTTTATTATTTTATTGATTTATTTGTTTGTTTAATTTTTTTATTAACTAGCATAAAAAGCCATATGCATGAATAAAAAAAGTAATCAAATTAATGATGTGCTTTGACTCATAATGGCTTTGTAGCTGTTTCGCTAATTGTCTGGTGTTTTGTGTGTGTTATTTCAGAGAAGAGTATGGCAGACCTCAGTTAGCCTTGACTTTGAAGCGTCGCCGTTAGACGTTAGAAGAGGGCTGTGCACTAGGAATGTGAGGCTTCACCTTAATAGAGACTAGACTCAAAGGTGGATTGTCCGTGACACTGCTTGATCTTGACCTAACTGCCTGCTGTTGTGGCTCCTCTGTCTGTCATAACCCCCCCTCCAACCCCAACACATGCACACATACACACTCGCACACATGTACAGCCTAGTTTCTTTCTTTTGGAAGTGTGAACTGGACTAATATAAACACTTTTATGCATTTAGGTAGAAAAACTCAACTGTTGATGCCTCTGCATGCTGTTTTATTTATCTGCTGCAGAACTCTTCCACACAAAATTGAATCCGTCATCTACTGATTTCTCGCAGCTTTGCTTGGAATTCCTCTCGATATATAAGAAAACGCTATCGCCCCTGAGTGCTACTGCAGTTTTATTACCTGAGGTGGTCTGCCTGAATATAGCTTGCCACATGTCATTCAAAGGGAATGGCAGGTATGTGTCACTATAGTCATACATCCTAACTTGCCTTCAGCAGTAATCAGTTGCCAAGGCAACCTTAAATGGGATTATGACCTTCTGTTGTGTATAGACAAGTAAACTGTTAAAGATGTCAACATCCAAGAGACAGCATTAAGGTTTTACGTCGGTGAACATTTTATTTTCTCATCATACTAAATTAAACTGATGTCTTCTTGTGTGCGAGTAGAGCTTTTAGGAATATTTATTTTTTTTCTGTCGAGGGTGTAGTATTTATTTAATGCCATCCGAGCGTTTGTGAATAAAATAATGCCCGTCGCTGTGGGGAGGGCTGTGTGACCATGTAGCGAAGGGTCGAATACAAAGAAAGAAGGAAGCGGCAGCAGAGCGCCTGCAAGGAGGGCAGAGTGTTGGGAGGGCGGAGATGGAGAAATGGGGGGGGACGGTGGTATTTAGTATGCACGGCCAAGCTGCCCCATCTGCTTAGCGCAGCAGTCCCTGTCGTATAACTGTCTACAGGCCGTGGGCCACATAAAGAATGTCTCAGATTTGATGTAATTCCGCAAAATTAATGACAGCTTTACTCGGGATGGGCCGTGAGGGAATGATTAGTGTTTGATCGTCCATCTGATCAGTTCCCTTGGCTGTCTGCAGGAGAGATGCTCCACTATATGACTGCTGCCTATGGCAAGCACACACAGATATACCTATCCCAAAACAATCCCCAGGCCCCCGAGCTCTAGTTCAGGTTTGAGATCTGATTCCTGTTTCCCCCTCAACGCAGACGACCAATATCCTGTTAAACTCTCTGCGCTGTGACACT